TTGAGTTTCTTGAGTGATAAAAATAATAGTAATTTTATTATTACTGATTTTTGTTAGCTTTTAACTCATACTATGTATAATGTTTTAACCATTGAAAAGCAATGGGAAAAGACTATGTTCTTTATTATTTTTTTTTAAATTTTTCTTTTCAACATTTATTTATTTTTGGGACAGAGAGAGACAGAGCATGAACGGGGGAGGGGCAGAGAGAGAGGGAGACACAGAATTGGAAACAGGCTCCAGGCTCTGAGCCATCAGCCCAGAGCCCGACGCGGGGCTCGAACTCACGGACCGTGAGATCGTGACCTGGCTGAAGTCGGACGCTTAACCGACTGCGCCACCCAGGCGCCCCAAGACTATGTTCTTTAGACTGCTTTAAGCGGCTCCAAGGAAAGTTAACTTTCAGCGTACCCCAAAAGTTATTGTCATTATGGTTCTTTTTTTGTTATAAGACCTGCTTGTATAGAAACTTTGAAGCATAATACTTCTTTAGTTTTTTTTAAAAAAAAAAAAAACACTTAAAAAATCCAGTGCAAAAATGGCACACATTATTTAAATCTGTGCATCGGTCAGCAAACTGAAAAGTGAAATGTTTTCTAACTGACCTTTGATTCATGTTATAGGAAATCATGCAGTGTATACATTTACTGACATGTTTAGCGAAAACATGAATGTGAGAGAGCTAACGAGAATTTTAACTTTTGTTTTTTTAATATTTCAGGCTATGGCATTTGCTTTCATTTTCTTCATACATTCGTGATATCTGTGTCAAAGTTTTATCGACTTAGATTTATAAATATGTATTACATTAAATGCACTTGAGTATAGTGTATACATTTGAATATGAATTTGTGCATGGATACAATAAGACACACATCACTTAATAAGTAGAAAGGGTTCAACAAGATAACAGTCCAAGGTCCTGTAGTTGTCACTGTTCCACAGTGATGTGGAATTAAGAAAAAAAAGCTCCATTTTTTATCTAATTGAATTTGCCAAGGGAATATATTTCATCCACATGTTTAAAACAGGGGCATGTATTCTCTCAGAATCTGTAAACCAACTAGTTGAAAGATTGACAGCTCGGTGAGGAGAACACCACCTTATATTTGGTTTCAGGCAGCCAAAGTTTTAATTACAGCTCTGAGGAGGAGGAGGAGAATGGGAACGTTTCACACAGCAACCTTAACAAACAGCGTAATATCTCCGTTGTTATCCATGTTATTACTATTTCGGCATCTTTTATATATGTCCTACATATTGCATTAATAGAAACTCAACTAGAAACCTGGTCTTGGAGATACTTGGTGTCTGTCACAGTCTGTGGTAATGACTACTGAGAATCAGTGACACATGTGGAAGAATTAGAGCTTTAAAAAAGTACTCTACTGAGGGCCTCCTAGGTGGCTCAGTCTCTTAAGCATCCAACTTCGGCTCAGGTCATGATTTCTTGGCTTGTGAGTTTGAGCCCTGCATTGGCCTCTGTGCTGACAGGACAGCTCAGAGCCTGGAGCCTGCTTCAGATTCTGGGTCTTCCTCTCTCTTTGCCCTTCCGCTACTCACTCTCTCTCTCTCTCTCTCTCTCTCTCTCTCTCTCTCTCTCAAATAAATAAAACATTAAAATATTAAAAAAAAGTACTCTACTGAATATTATAAAATTTTAAGAAGGGCTACATTTTAGAAGTACATTCATTTGGACAGAATATTTCAGAGTCATTGGGTTTCTTCTCATGTAATTTTTTTCTGTATGTAAGCTGTCTTACTGAAAATTGGCACGGTTTAATGAAGCTGTGTGTGTTCACAGTAAAGAGGAAGCTAACTAAAGGAAACACTTAAAAAGTGACCTATGTACTTGCATATATATCCTTCTTTTTTCTGGCAAGAAAGTGACTGTCTCTTTATCACGCATCTAGGGATTTTGAATCCTAGAAAGGGATCGGAATCAGGAGAAAAGTTGTTGTGCTTTGAGAGACCTAAGATGAATATTCACTTAATACAAAAAGAGAGAAATGTCACAAAAGTCATGGTATGTAAATTAATAGTGCCTGGGAGCAATTATTTTATATGGCAAAGCCAGAAAGACATTAAAAACACCTTATATTTCTGTTTTCAACTCATGAACAAATAAATGTAGAAAACATGTTTATTTAACAGTGCAAACAGTTTCCTTAATGCATAAATTAAGAGGATGTCTTACTATTTCTGAATACTCAAGGTAGAGAGACATCGTAGAGAAAGAAGGGAATAATAGCCGAAGTGCTTGAATAACAATTCTGGCAAAAATGGGAGTTCTTCCAATAAGGACCAAGACATCCCATATTCCCAATTCTGATTATTGATTGGATAGATTTCTTGCAAAAAATTTATTTTCCCCAGACTCTAGAATTTATAGGATGGGTTTAGCTAGCGTTAGCAACATAGCAGTTTCTTTTTTTCATAGATAAGCCTGGTTGATCAAAGCAAGATATAAACAGCTAGAATGCTTTCCTTAATATTTACATAAACACAAAATGAAATGTGGGTTTTGTGTTTATTTCATATTACTATGAATGAATAAAGGAATTCAGAGTTTCTTTTTGTGTGTTTCACTTTGATTTTATTGACTTTTAGGGAAACCTACTGATATTTGAAAAAGAGATACTTAGTCTTGGAGAAGTAATTCATTTTTTTCATGATGGGAGTACTGAATTTCTTCTTTATGTTCAGGTCATAGTCATGTTAGCAATAAAACCATTTATCTTCTATAAGAATTTTGAGAAATGTATACTGTATTTGATTTACACTACCCAAAAACATTCTTTATTTGTTTTTTTAAGTTTTATTTAAATTCCAGTTGGTGAATATACAGTATAATATTAGTTTCAGGTGTACAATATAGTGATTCAACACTTCTATACATCACCCTGTGTTCATCTCAGTAAGTTCACGTCTTAATTCCCATTGCCTGTTTAACCCATTCCCCTACCCACCTCCCTTCTCACAACCATCAGTTCTCTACAATTAAGAGTCTGTTTCTTGGTTTGCTTGTCTTTCTCTTTCTTTTTTTTCCTTCTTGTTTTGTTTTTTAAATTCCACATATGGGCAAAATCACAGTACATTTGTCTTTCTCTGACTTATTTCACTCAGCGTAATACACTCTAGCTCCATCCATGTTGTTGCAAATGGCAAGATTTCATTCTTTTTTTATGGCCGAATAATATTCCATTGAGTGTGTGTGTGTGTGTGTGTGTGTGTGTGTGTGCGTGTGCATGTATGTATGTGTATGTATATATTACATACATATGTATATATTACATACATACACATACATACAGCATATCCTCTTTATTCATTCATATTTGATGGACATTTGGGGCTACTTCCATAATTTGGCTATTATAGATAATGCTGCTATAAACATTGGGGTGCATGTATTCCTTTGAATTAGTGGTTTTACATTCTTTAGGTAGATACCTAGTAGTGCAATTGCCAGATCATGGGGTAATTCTATTTTTAACTTTCTGAGGAATCTCCATACTGTTTTCCAGAGTGGCTGTACCCGTTTGCATTCCCACCAACAGTGCAAGAGGGTTCCTCTTTCTCCACATCCTCACCAACACCTGTTGTTTCTTGTGTTGTTGATTTTAGCCATTCTGAAAGGTATGAGATGGTATCTCATTGTAGTTCTTTACTTGGTTTTAAACTTGTAAAATAAACTCAGCAAATTTGTTTCAGGAGAGCATTTCCAAAATAATTCATAGCTAATAGAGTTAAGTAGTGCTTTGAAATAAACTTATTTTCTCTTAAAAATTAGATGTCCAGTAATAGCCATATTTATATATACAATTATACCTTATTATAATATTTTATATAGTACAAACATTTATATATTAAAGATTAAAAACTTTGGGAATACATTTTTCCCCCAAGTAGAAAACAAAGGTAAGTATTAGGATTCTGAAATTACTTGTTAGTTTACATGGACTTGACCAAGCCTAGGTTCTCCTGTTTCTTGGTGAAGAGTCTGTAAACATTTACATTTCATTACAGAAACTGTGTACTTTTAAGAATGACATCTTAGAATTTTGGAGAGGTCCTCAGTCTGTGCATTTTCCTTATGCACTTGGCTTTATTTTATCACTTTAAAATAATTGTAGTTTAATGGTAGATTTAGATGTATAATTGTACTTTTTATTAATGAGAAAAGACAAAAATGAAGCATTAGAGATTAAAATAGAAAGATGGGCATCATATATGAAACGCTGTGGAGACTGTAGATTAAATCAATGTAAATAACAATATCACTACTTGAAAAATGCATAGTGTTTGAATCAAAGAAAATCATAACAAACCTTACAAGCAGTTATTTAAGTAGACCATACAATATGTGATCTTTTGTGTCTGCTTTCTTTCACTTAGTGTAGTGTTTTTGAGATTCATCCAAGTTGTAGAATATATCAGTTCTCTTTTCCTTTTTATGTCTGAATGCGCGCGCGCACACACACACACACACACACACACACACACACACACACACACATATGCAATACATACATACCTCAATTTGTTTATCCGTGTATCCACTTAAGGGCATGTGGGCTGTTTCTATCCTTTGGCTATTATAAATAATGCTACTATAAACATTCACGTACAAGTTTCTGTGTGGATATGTGTTTTCATTTCTCTTAGGTGTATACCTAGGAGCAGAATTTCTGAATCGTATGGTTATTCTGTGTTTGCCTTTTTGAAGAATAGCCAAATTGTTTTCCATAGCAGCTGTACTATTTTGTATTCCCAACAGGTATGTATAAGGGTTCCTGTTTCTCTACATCCTTGCCAACACTTGTTTTTTATTAATTTATTCTTTGATTAAAGCTATCTTAGTGGATATGAAGAGTTTTTTCATTATGTATTTCTTCAGTGACTAGAGATATTGAAAATATTTTATGTGCTTTTTCTTCTTTGGAGAAACTATGTACGTTTCTTGCCCATTTTTTATTTGGGTTTGTTTGTCTGTGTGTTGCATTGTAAGGGTTCTTTGTATATTCTCATTTTTAATCCTTTATCAGATCTATGATTTGTAAACTTTTTCTCCATTATTTAGGTTGTTCCTTGGCATTCTTGATAATGTTGTTTAATGTACAACAGATTTTAATTTTTATGAAGTCCAATTTGTCTTTCACTTTTATTGCTCATGCTTTTGGTGTCAAATCTTAGAATCTTTTGCCAAATCTGAGGTTATAAAGATTACCCCTGTTTTTTCTTCGATAATTGTATAGTTTTAGCTCTTATATTTAGGTCATTTATTTGAGTTAATTTTTATATAAGAAGTGAGGTATGGGTCCAACTTCATTATTTGTATGTTGTTATCCATTTATCCCTGAACCATTTGTTGGAGACTGTTCTTACCCTGTTGAACGGTCTTGTCAAAAATCAGCTGGTTATGAATGATTGGGTTTATTTCTAGACTCTCATTCAGTTCTATTCTGTTGGTCTCTATACCTATGCTTATGTCACTGCCACACTCTTGCTTAGTGTGCTTTGTAGTAAATTTTGAAATTGGGAAGTGTGAGTCTTTCAACTGCATTTTACTTTTTGGATATTATTTTGGCTATTCAGAATCCCTTGTAGTTCCATATAAATTTGAGAAATTTAGTTCACTTTGAGGAGTAGTGTCGTCTTAACCATATTAAGTCTTCCAATTCATGAGCATGGAATGTATTTCCATTTATTTAGGGTGTTTTAACTTCTTTCAGCAATGTTTTATAGTTTTCAGTGTGTAAGTCTTTCACCTTCTTTGTTAAATTTGTTCCTCAGCATTTTATTCTTTTGAATGCTCTTGTAAATGGAATTATTTTCTTAATTTCCACATTGTTCATTGCTGACATATAGAAACACAACTAGTTGTTGTGTGTTGATCTTGTACTCTGCAACTTTACTGAATTCATTTATTAGCTCTAGTAGGTGTGTGTGTGTGTGTGTGTGTGTGTGTGTGTGTGTATGGATTCTATGGGAATTTTGTATAAGTAGAATCGTGCCATTTGCAAGTAGAAATACTTCTACTTCTTTCTACTTCTAAAAGGCATTATCAATTTGGATGCATCTTATTTCCTTTTCTTGGGTAATTGCTCTGACTAGAACTTCCACTACAAAGTCGAATAGCAGTGATCAAAACATGCATTTTAGTCTTGTTCTTGATCTTGAGGTTAGGCTTTCATTCTTTCACTACTATGATATTAACTATGGGTTTTCCGTAAGTTCCCCTTATCATGTTGAGGGAATTTCCTTGTATCCTAGTTTCTGGGCATTTTTATCATGAGAGGGCATAGAATTTTGTCAAATGCTTTTGTTTTTGTTTTGTTTTGTTTTTTCTTTTTTTTTTGGCATATATAGAGATTATAATGTAGTTTTGTTTTTTAATTTCTATTAGTGTGGTGTGCATTACATTGATTGATTTTCATATGTTGAACCACCATTGCATACCTGAGTTATATCCTGCTTGGTGATGATGTGTAATTTTTTAAATGTGCTCTTGGACTTGGTTTGCTGGTATTTTGTTGAGGAATTTTGTATATATTCATAAGAGATACTGGTCTGTAGTTTTCTTATGTTATTTTTATCTGGCTTTGGTATCAGTTTAATGCAGACCTCATGAAATGTGTTAGAGTTCTCTATCTTTTTGGAAGAGTTTGAGAAGGAATGTTGTTAATTCTTCTTTTAGTGATGGATAGATTTCACTAATGAAGCCTTATGATCCTGACTTTCCTTTTGTTGGCATATTTTTATTAACTGATTCAATCTGTTACTGGTCTGTTAAGACTTTTTACTTCTTGAGTTGGGCTTGGTAATTGTGTTTTCCTGGGAATTCATCCATTTCATCTAGATTGCCTAATTTGTTGGTATAAAGTTGCTCATGGTATTTTCTTATAGCCCTTTTAGTTTTGTAAAACTGAACCACTGTTCCTCAAATTTATGTGCAACTTCAAGAGACTCCAAGTAGTCAAAATAGTATTGAAAAAGTGAATGTAGTAATGTCCCTGCTTTCATCTATTATTTCAGTTATTTTCATTTTCATTTTTTTTTCTTAGTCAGTCTAGCTGAAGGGTTCTCATTTTTGTTGATTTTTTTCAAAGAACCAATCTTTGGTTTTATTGATTTTCTTTGTTGCTTTTCTCTATTTTGTTTCTCTTGGCTATAATCTTTATTATTTCTTTCCTTCTCCTGGCTTTGGGTTTAATTTGTTCTTTTTCTGGTTCCTTAAGGTGTGAAGTTGGTTTGTTGACTTGAGATCTTCTTTTTTAAATGTAAGTGTTTGCAGCCATGAATTTCCCTCAGAACACTTCTTATGCTGCCCCTTGTATGTTTTGGTATGCTGTGTTTTATTTGTATTTATTTCAAAGTTTTTTTTTTTGTGCCTAGTGAATCTTTACTTGTTCTACTGGTTGCTTGCTTAAGAGTATGTTGTTTAATTTCCATGTGTTTGAGTTTTCCAGTTTTTCTTCCAGTATTGATTTCTAGCTTCATACTATTGTGCTCAGGGAAGATACTTTGAATGATTTAGATATTTTTTTTAATTTGAAAATTGTTTTATGGCTTAACATATGGTTTATTCTAGAGAATGTTCCAGTGCAGTTGAGAATAATAGATATTCTGCCATTCTTGGGTGGAGTATTCTATATATGTCTCTTGGTCTAGTTGGTTTATAGTATTGTTCAAGTCCTTTATTTTCTTATTGATTTTCTTTGTACATATTCTATCCATTATTGAAAGGGGCTGTTTAAGTTTCCAACTATTACTGTAGACTGTCTATTTCTTCAGTTCTGTCACTGTTTGCCTCATATATTTTGAGGCTTTGTTGTTTGATGTATATATGTTTATAATTTTTTGAAAAATTTATTTTTATTAAAGTATAATTAACATAGTGTTATATTAGTTCAAATGTACAGTATAATTATTCAACAATTCTGTACATTACTCAGTGTTTATCATGGTAAACATACTCTTAATACTCTTTACCTCTTTTACCAATCCCCCATCTACCTTCTGGCAACCACCAGTTTGTTTTCCTTATTTAAGAATATTTTTTGTCTCTTTTTTTCTTTGTTTTGTTATTTAAATTGGACTGTGAGTGAAATTACATGATATTTGTGTTTATCTATCTGACTTATTTCACTTAGCATTGTACCCTTAGATCCATCCATGTTGTTGGAAATGGCAAGATCTCCTTCTTTTACATGGCTGAATATGTATGTGTATACATACATACATACATACACATACACACCACATCATCTTTATCCATTCACTTATCTTTGGACACTTGGGTTGCTTCCATATCTTGGCTATTGTAAATAATGCTGCAATAAACATAGGGGTGCATATATCTTTTTGAATTAGTGTTTTTGTATCCTTTGGGTAAATACCCAGTAGTGGGAATTACTAGATCATATGTTAATTTTACTTTTAATTTTTTCAGGAACCTCCATACTGTTTTCCATAGTAGCTGCATCAGATTGCATTCTCAAGAACAGTGAATGAGAGTTCCTTTTTCTCCACACCCTTGCCATTTATGCTTATAATTCTTATATCTTTGTGATAAATTGATCCTTTAATCACTATAATGTTTTTCTCTGTCTCTTGCAACAGTTTTTTTTTAATGTTTACATATTTTTGAGAGAGAGAAAGAGACATTGGGAGAGGGGAAGAGGCCAAGGGAGAGGGAGAGACAGAATCCGAAGCAGGCTCCACCCTCTGAGCTGTCAGTGTAGAGCCTGACGCAGGGCTTGAACTCACGAACTGTGAGATCATGACCTGAGCCAAAGTCGGACTCTTAACTGACTGAGCCACCCAGGTGCCCTCTTGCAACAGTTTTTGATGTAAAATCCATTTTGTCTCATGTTAATACTGCCAGCTGGGCTCCCTTTTGATTACTATTGGTATGTAATACCTTTTTCTACCCTTTCACTTTCAACTTATGTGTTTGGGTGTAAAATGAGTCTCTTATAAGCAGTTTATTGTTGTATCATTTTTTAAATTCCTTTTGCCAGTAGCAGTTTTTTAATTGGTGAGTTTAACCTGTTTGCTTTTATAATGATTATTGATTATAATTATGTGATTATAAAAGTGATTATTTCTGCCATTGTTCTATTTGTGTGCTCTATGTCATGTTTTTTTTTGTTGTTCCTCACTTCCTTATGTGCTGCCTTCTTTTGTGTTTGATTTTTTTCTAGTATACCTTTTGATTCTGTCTTCATTAAATTTTTTTGTTTTATTTGAATATAGTGGACAAACAATGTTACATTTGTTTCAGGTGTATTCATTTCTTTTTATGTTTATTTTTTAGTTATTTTCCTAGAGGTTACAATGGGGATTACAGTTAACATCCTAAATTGATAAAAATTTTGTTTAAGGGTGCCTGGGTGTTCAGTTAGTAAAGCATCTGAGTCTTGACTTTGGCTCACGTTATGATCTCACAGCTCATAGGTGCAAGTCCCATGTTGGGCTCTGCACTGACAAAGTGGAGCCTGCTTGGGATTCTCTCTCTCCCTCTCTCTCTGCCCCTCCTCCACTCAAGTGCACACACTCTCTCTCAAAATAAATAAATAAACATTTAAAAAAACTTATTTGAATTGATACCAGTTTAGCTTCAGTTGAAAAATTAAGTCTACTCCTTTCTAGCTTTATCCTCTCCTTTATATTGTTAGTGTCACACATTGCATCTTTATGCATTGTGTGCCTATTAACATAGACCTATAATTATTTTTTGTGCATGTCTTTTAAATGATACGGAAAATAAAAAAAAGATACCAAAAATTCAATAATACTAGCTTTTATATTTACCTATGTAGTTACCTTTACCAGTGATCTTTATTTCTTTGTATGACTTTGAGTTACTCTGTAGTATCTTTTCATTTCAACCTGAAGGACTTCTTTTAGCATTACTTATAGAGAAGATCTACTTAGTAGTGAATGCCCTTAGCTTTGCTTTCCTGGTAATGTTGTAATTTCTTTTTCATTTTTGAAGCATTGTTTTGCTGAGTACAGAATTGCTGATTGACATTTTTTTCCTTTCAATTTCTAAAAATATGTTGTCCTCCTGTCATTTGGCCTTCCGAGTCTCTGATAAGAAATAGGCTGTTAATCTTTTTTCTTTTTTTAATTTTCTTTTTTTAAATTTAATCGAAATTGGTTAGCATGTAGTGAAACAATGATTTCAGGAGTAGATTCCTTAATGCCTCTTACCCATTTAGCCCATCCCCTGTCCTGGCTGTTAATCTTTTTTGAGGATGCTTTGTGTATTATGAGTTGCTTCTCTCTCTCTTTTTTAAAATTTTTAAATTATTTATTTATTTTGAGAGAGAGAGTACAAGTAGGGGAGGGGCAGAGAGAGAGAATCCCAAGCAGGATCTGTGCAGTGAGTGCATGGAGCCCAATGCAGGGCTCAAACCCATGAAACCGTCATGACCTGAGCTGACGTCGGATGCTTAAATGACTGAGCCACTAGCCACCCTTGAATTACTTCTTTCTTTCTGCTTTCAAGATTTTTTGTCTTTCAACAGTTTGTTAATAATGTGGTGTGGATTTCTTTGTCCTCCATAGAGTTTGTTGAGATTCTTGGGTGTGTATATTCATGTCTTTCATCAAAATTGGGAAGCAGTATTTCTTCAAAAAATTTTTTCTGCTTCTTTTTCTTCTCCTGGGGCTCCCTTGATGTGCACATTGAGATGTTTGATGGTGTCCCATAGGTCTCTTAGGCCCCTGTTTATTTTGCTTTATTTGTGTTTATTCTTTTTCTCAGAATGTGCAGTTATAATTGCCCTGTTTTCAGATATGATGGTTATTGCTTTTGCTTGCTCATATTTGCTGTTGAATCCCTTTCATGAATTTTTTTATCTTTTGTATTGTCTAGCTCCACAATTTCTACTTTTATCTGTTTAATAATTTCTCTTTGTTGATTTTCATTATTTGTTCATATGTTGTTTTCCTAATTTCCCTTGGTTCTTTGTCCATGGTTTTCTTCAGTTCATCAAACATATCTAAGGTAGTAAATTAAAGTTTTTGCCTACTAAGTTCAGTGTCTAGGCTTTTAAAGGATGGTTTCTGTCAATTTTCTTTTTTCCTATGAAAGTAATATTTTCCTATTTGTGTGCTTTATAATTTTCTTGTTGAGATCTGGACGTTTTGAATATTGTAATGTAATTTAGGAAATCAAATTCTTCCCACTACACCAAGTAGTGCTGTTGTTACTTGATGAAGGTTGCAATAGCTCATTTGTTTAGTGACCTTTCCACAGTGGATTTTGCAAAGACTGTATTTCTTGTCATGTGTGGTCACTGAAGTCTATATTCTGTTATATCTTTGGTCAGCCAGTGACCTGACAGAGATTTCCTTAAATACCTGGATCCAATGAGAGAACAAAAAAAAAATTTTTTTTTAATGTTTATTTATTTTTGAGACAGAGACAGACAGAGCATTAACAGGGGAGGGTCAGAGAGAGAGAGGGAGACACAGAATCAGAAGCAGGCTCCAGGCTCTGAGCTGCCAGCACAGAGCCCGACGCGGGGCTCGAACTCACGAACCATGAGATCATCACCTGAGCCGAAGTAGGAGGCTCAACCAACTGAGCCACCCAGGCGCCCCGAGAACAAAAAAATTTTTAAGGGTATTATGTCTCTGTGACTTCCTCCATTGATGGTAATGAAGCAACCTGATGGGTTGAACCACTGGCTATCTCTGTCTTGGCCCCTCAGTGAACTGCTGAATAGGTCAAGACACAGAACTTTGGTTTTTGGAGGAGAAAGTCTCTACTGCCCACCCTTATGCCAAAAAGCTGCGTCAGGAATTTAGGCCATTGTCCCCATGGTTACTTTCAGCAAGGTTGTGGATTATAGCTGTCATATGTAATGCTGAAATTCACCAAAACTTACCAGTCTTTTTCTTTATCAAGTGTTCCCTTGGATGCTACCAGTGTTCAGCTAGACTCCAGAGTTCTGAAATAGTTGATTCTAACAGGTTTTTTGTTTGTTTGTTTGTTTGCCAGAATGATAGTTGTTTTGGTGGAGGGACTGATTCTAGAGCTTCCTACTCTGCCATCTTCCATGACACTGCTCCCTGCCATGTCCACTCTTAAAAGTGTTCCAGTTTGGAAATAATTTTTTTGGTCACCCATTGGTAAGTAAATGACAAGAGCAAGAGAGAGAGATGAAAAGAAAATATAAACCATGAGGATCATCAATAAATATTTACTGACTGCTTAAGGAAGATAAGCTGTTAGATGAATGCTATAGAATTTTCCTAGTTTTAGTTCCATTTAGTTTGTGTCTGTTGGGAGGTTTTTATACTAGCTTAGCATGGGTACAGTGAATGCCTTTGTTGGCAGGGTTGACAAAGCACGTTGATTTGTATCCTGAGTTTAGATAAGGGGTATTATAACATGTAAACTAAGAGATGGAATGAATCTGTGGGACAGCTATATCTCTTGTTGCTGACACGGGTGCCATGTTGTCTGTCTTTCTACTTGTTCTACTTTCTCAAATCTGTAGGTGGGTCATGAACAATTGCTTCATGGCTGTATGCAGTCTGCAGGCCTTATGTTGTGTAGGCCTGCTATAGACACTACTCTTTAATTGGGCAGAAAAGTTGCTGCATTGGCTTCCCTCCCATTTCAGAAAGCTGAGTACATGCTGTTACTGCAGCAGTTTGTCTATGCCATCTTGAGGAACAAGAACCTGAGATTGGAAGTCAGACTAGGGGCTCCACAGGGTGATAAGGACCATTGCATTTTGACTGTTGAGTCTGATTATATTTATAATCATAGGGAGGTGATTTTTTGAACATGGGTTAATGTGCATTTGCCCCTTTTGGAAAATCACTAGACTTTTACAGTTCCCGATTAAAGTTTTTGGTAACTATTCGGAAAAGACTAATAGAGTACATTTGGGGAAAATGCTTTCAATGAGTGATCTTGTATTGACTGGCTGGCTAACTGTCTCTCCATCACTCTCATACATACTCAGAATGCTACAAGTGATAGAAATTTAATATTTTCAAAATATAAATGAATAAAAGTAGAAAAGTGAAAATGTTTACTTTTTTTGTTCTGTATTAAATGTTCATTAAATTAATTTTGGTAAAATTAAGTAAAATAATTTCCTATTGCTATAAGTAGCCACATTTTATGGTTGAATTTAAACTGTAGAAAGGGGGTTGTGATGGAACACCCATCAGAATATCTGCTGTCTCATATGAAAGGACTGCATATAGTGTCTTGATAGTATAAAAACTTCTTTAACATACTTTTAATTTTAATTAAAATGTCTAAATTATAATATACCAAAGAAAATAGTTTTAATTTTTTTCCATAGGTCTCTGTGTGATTTTAATGTTGTGTACATTATTATTGGTGCTTGAGTTTAATATTGCCTTCTGTAGCATTAAAATTGTTAACACTGTAGCTTTGGTAATGCACGTTTGAATATTATGTTGCTGTAAACAGCTTCACTAATGCTATATTTTCAGTGAATATTATGGGCCTTCTGTTAGTGCTGGCATTTGAGCAGTTTTGCTTTCTATTTTTCTGTTGTGTATACAATGCAAAGTATTCCCACCTGAGATTTCCCCAAAATTTCACTTGGGAAACAGAACAAATTTGAAGGATGTTTTCTGTATGTTGCTGAAATCATGCTTTGCTTTGAATCAAGCCAAATGATGAAAACAGAGTCTAGCCTTCTTTCCAGCAAATTGCAATTACCTCTAAGGCCTATAGTAAAATGACCAACTAATTGAGAACACTTGTCTTTGTTTTCAGTTAGCAAAACTTACTAAGAATGTCCATTTTCTGAATTCAAAAAGGTGTGTGTATTTTTAATGAATTAAAAGTTGGGAGCTCTGAAAATTAAAGCATATGCAGGTTACTCTCTTCCTCAAGGGGACATATACTACTGCTGTGCTCGTGTGAAGTAATAATGAGATACCATAAGCAAACAGTAGATGATTCATGTCAGATGGTTCTTCAATAACATTAGGGGGGAAAAAGCAGCTGATGTATGGGATATTGAAGGCAGATTAAGTTGTTAATGTATATTAGTATATTCTTAATTTCCTTTTAATTGAAAAAGACATATTGACTTTAATTAGAACCATTTCACAGGAACTGTCAATTAGCACATGTCAAACTAGTTAATTCAGAACAGAATTCTTTTAATTAGGGTCTGCTTTCCTTTAACTATGGGGCCAATGAAATCAGCCTTTCCTTATCTAGATTTTAAATGTCTCTAAGACATATAATACAAATGTAGACTCTTATCTATTATTAGAAGCCCATATGGATAACATTAAAATGATGATGCTGGCATTGTTCATGCAGCACAAATCAGAGTCCCTTTATGACTGTTAGAAAAAAAATGGCTTTGAACAAAGACTATTTTAAATACCAGATTTATCCTACTTTAAAGAGACTACAAAATTTATGACATGCATGTTCACATTTAAAGTATTATTTAATACGTCTGCTCAAATAAATGGGCCTATTCAAACGTTTTGTGTGTTCTATCAGCCGAAGACACATAAAACATTGTCAAGCCATACAGCAACATTTTTTCCTTAAATGAACTGTAATCAAAAAGGGAAAACAGACTGAATGATTTTTTTTTGCACAACATAAAAATAGCATTGTTAACTTTCATTGCATCCAAAGATTTAATACGAATAGTTGATACGGTGACTAAACCACTGGTATGAGCTAATGTAATCTTAGTAATCAAACTGTAAAATCTGAAACTTGGCTTTTTCTTGATGTAATGTTGTGGAATTGCAGCATGTTAGTTACAGTTGGCATGAGGATGAGCACGTAGAGTGAGTTTGCTGGGGCAGGACTCTATGGTGTTCACCTATGAAATAGGTATACTCAGTATTAAAAGAAGATTTAAAGTGGCATGTAAAAGAAAATTAATTGGAAGTCTAGCTTACTTTATCATGTAAGATTTAGCCGCTATTTTAATGAGTTAGAGTAAGCAAGGATTACAGAAATCAATAAAAAAGAATATTTAATAAGCCAGTCTGGATTCCAAAGAGAATTATCTAGTATGTATCCTCATATTTGTTCATTTGTGGTAGGTACATTTAATGATAACTGTACTGTTCCTTACTAAAGTATGATGTAGTGTAGATGTCTCAGTAGCTGCATTTGTGACAGTCGAATTAAATGAATAATTGTTGTAATCTTCTAATTTTGATTAACAGGCAAAACAGAGTATACAAAAAGATGAAAAAACAACCAGAAAAACCCTTTTCCTTCTAGAGTTGACCTCATTCTTCTGAACTGTTCTTAGAGGGACCTCAGCTCTCTACTGTGTGTTTGAGAGACACAACTTACATTTAGCATGCCCATATTTGTTTCAATCTGTAGCTTTTAATTATTTTTGGTGCCATATAGTCACTTGAGTCTAGGATAAAAGATATTAATCCTCTTCCCAGAAAATACACATAAGCAGACGTGCACTTAATGTTCAGGGTGGGAAAACGTTATGAAAAATAATTTGGTACAGGCTGCTGAAAGATGGAACCTCAGTTTGATATAATTGACTACTTGTAGTGTTGCAGACACTGTGCTTGGTCTGGGAAAATAACAATGAGCAAGATGAGCAACCTTAACATCTGAGTAACTGTGACAAATTATTAACACATTTTCAGAAATTACTCTGTGATTATTAAAAATTTTTTTTTTTTTTTTACTTTCTGAACTGGTTAAAAATTGACCTATATTTACAAATCTTGGACAAATTTTATATGTGACAAGATTGACAATTTTACATAAAAATTGACTGAAAAATACAAGTATTGAAACAGTAGATGAGACTAATTTTATAAGTTTAATTCAACAGATTTTATTAATCATTTCCATCCTAATTATAATTCCATTTTGGTTAATAATCTTAGGTGATTTTAATTAATGCTATAACTTTGATCCATCTTTTTGTTGTTTATTCACTTAAATTATATAATTTATAATAATTTATGAAGAAGGCATAAGGCATACTAATACAGTTTTAAGAATTAGTCTTAAACTCTAAACTGTGTAAAGGATCTTGGGTGGGGTGCTAATTAATTTCTTGATTATCTTTGAGTCACTTATCTGTGCTATGCCAGGGTTTAAATTCAAACAAACTTTTGAGTAATATCAACACGTGCAGAATCTGTTATTCCACTAGATAGTATTAATTCCTTTGTAACTTCAGAGGGGTCATTTGGGTGTCTGTGTGTGTGCATGTACGTGCACATGTTTAATCTTTGGGTATACTGTAGCACTGTTGTGTATGTATAAAACATACTTGCATACTTAATGTGCTTTTAGTCCCACTTTTATCCTTGGTTGTCTCTAGCAGTTTAAATTGCCTTGTCTGTTTCAGGGGCACCTGGGTGGCTTAGTTGGTTAAGCAGCTGACTTTGGCTCATGTCATGATCTAATGGTTCATGAGTTCAAGCCCTGCTTGAGGCTCTGTGCTGACAACTCAGCACCTGAAGCCTGCTTCAGATTGTGTCTCCCTGTCTGTCTGCCCCTCCTCTCCCCTGCCCTCTCTTTGTCTCTCTTTGTCTCTCTCTCTCTTTCTCAAAAATAAACAAACACATAAATTAATTAATTAAAAATTGCCTTGTCTGTTTTACCTTTTGTAAAGTTGACCATTGGTGTATTTGTCAGCAACAAAAATTTTGGCCCTTGGAAATTTACAGGATACATGAGCCTTAACTTGGTTTAATCATCTTAATGGTATAGATGGTATAGGTTATATATATATTGATAAGAATAGGCAAAAATTACTCAGAGCATATGTTTTTGAATCAAAACCATAGCCATTTTATTTATTTATTTATTTACTTCTTTTTAGAGAGAGGGAGAGAGAGAGGATGCACGTGAGCGGCGGGGTGGGGGGAGAGATAGAGATAGAGAGAGAGATAGAGAGAGAGAGACCCCATGAGGGGCAGAGAGAGAGAGAAGTGAGGCTCACTTGGGGCTCGTGTTTTTACTTGAAACAGGGTTTGTGCTCACCTGAAGTGGAGCTCGAGCTCAGCTGAAATGGGGCTAATGCTCACCTGATGGGGGTTCAAGCTCACCCCAACTGGAATTTGTGCTTCCCCGATATGGGACTTGAACTCACCAACTGTGAGATCATGACCTGAACTGAAGTTAAATGCTTAATGACTGAGCCGCTCAGGTGCCCGAAACCATACCCATTTAACTCTGACTTGGTTAGCTGCATTTTAACAGATTATTTAAATTATTAGGAGCTGTGATTTCAAATAGCTTTATCCAAATAGGAAAATTATTGAAATCACTGGAATGTTTTATGTAAAGGGATGTAACTTTCAGATGAAAAATTTGAATTGTTGGATTTTAAGAGTTAATTGGAAATTTTCTTAATTATTTCATCTACTTTTTGATCCTTAATCAACATCATATTGATTTTAATAGGGACTAAATGCACCACCCTGAATGTGGGATTTCTGTACTCCATATGTGTGTAACTAGCCCCATGTCTGCAACCTCTGACATACACTTTTTTTCTATCTATTGATAAACAGTTGTGTAACATATTAACTACATAATTTAGTAAATTTAATTTTTTTATATCTTGAGAGTGTGTTCATGTTATCTTTTGGAAAGTGACAGGGAGTTACTGTGTGTGTGTGTGTGCATGTATTTGTGTGTGTGTGTGTGTGTGTGTGTGTGTGTGTGTGTGTGTGTGTATGTATATATATGTAGGCAGCCAGTCTCAGGTTAGTTTGGTTCAGTACCACAAGTATTTATAGGGACGCCTGGTTAGCTCAGTCGGTTAAGCATCCGATTCTTGATTTTGGCTCAGATCTTGATCTCATGGTTTGAGTTCGAGCCTGCACTGGAAGCACAGAGCCTTCTTGGGACACTCCCTCTCTCTCTGCCCCTCCCTTGCTCATGCTATCTCTCTCTCAAAATAAGTAAACAAACTTTTAAAAAATTAAAAAAAACCCCAAAAAACCAAGTATGTATTAACCACCTCTTATTCAGAAACAGTTAATGTTAGCTACTATCTTGTTGAACATTAGTTAAAATGTTTATTTGCCTTTTCCTTGACTATGTAGAATCTTGTTAAAAACTAATAATGTTCAGTAAATTATTAGTTGCCTTTTCAAAATTATTTAATACTTTATAGTTGAAATAGTTTTTTAATTTTATATATTTATTTTGACAGAAAGCGAGTGAGTGAGAGTGGGGGAGGGATAGAGGGAGAGGGAGAGAGAGAGAATACCAAGCAGGCTCTGCACTGTCACCATGGGGCTCAATCCCACGACCCTGGAATCATGACCTGAGCTGAAATCTGGAGTCAGACACTTAACCAACTGAGCCATTCAGGCACCCCTATAGTTGAAATATTTTCAATACTATTATCTAGTGCAAGATGAATAATTCCATCGTTACAGTTAATAGTTTAATTTCATTCACTGGTATCATTAGGTGTTCTGGCATATGGAAAAGCTGGGTTCAAATTACAGTATCACTGTTTAGTAGCTTTATAAACTTAGATAAATTGCTAACTTCTGAGGTTCATTTCCCTTCCCTGAAAAATGGGGATAATAACACTACTTGGTAGTGTTGTATGGATTAAATGGAATATGTAAAGGGTTTAGCATCTTGTCTTTTACATACTCAGTAAATACTTGTTCCCAACCCCTTTTCAGTTTTGTTGTACTAACTGCCTCTACTGAGAAATTTACTGTTAAATAGATTTACTCCTATATGGAAATACAGATTGTTAACATGAATGCTCTACTAATTTGATAGTTAATAGATATTAACAGGGGAAGTTACTACTATCTTTGTTGCTTCAGGAGAATCCAGCTGATGACAATCACCTACTTATGACCAACAGTCCTTTCTTCACTGTTTGTGTGAAATATATTTTATGACTATCACTAAGTGAAATGGCTTCTAACAAAAACTGTTCGTTTATAATAGTTCAATGTAGAATATTCAATTTTTTTTGTAAGCTGTCTGCCCAGTGTGGGACTTTAGCTCATGACCCCAAGTTAAGAGTCGCATCTCTACCAAATGAGCCAGTCAGGCACTCCCAAATATTCTTGAATAGCAATATTAGCTCCTAAATATGTGAAAAAGATGTATAAAAATAACCTGTAATTGTACCAACTAAAGGAAATCATTGTAAATATTTTGGCGTGTTTTATATGTATATGCTGAAAAATTTATTAGGCCATTACATTTTATTCATAATTGTGATTTAAATGGCTACACAGTATTCATTTTTTAAACTAAGTTCTTTTTGAAGTTTGCATTTTTTTCCTGCTCCACTAAGTTAGAATGAACATCTTTATATATATATAAACTTTATATGTATTTCTTAGTATTTCCTTAGGATAATTCTTAGGAACAGAATTACTGATCAAAGAGAATTAACATTAACATTTGATATATATTAACCCAAGTCGCTTTCCAGAAAAGTGTCAATTAATACTCCCACTAGCCCCAAATATGACCTTCTGACAAAAGAATGAATTGCTTTTTGAATGTACAGTTTGGCTAGTTGTTAAGTCAGTTGATTAATATATAGTTTTTGGCTAATTGATTCTTTCCTAATTGATTCAGTTTGGCACTAATTTAGGAAGAGTTCGAATAACATTATAATGACCCATGTGATCTTTCCTGGGATTTTCTAAAGATAGCTTTTAATTTAAAAGTAATGTTTAAAGTAACATTTGTTGTAAGTGGTAGCTGGTATGCCAACTTGACTTAGTCACATCTTGATTTTTATATGTGTTATGAGGTCTCTTTGGGGCTAATTTCTATAGCAATTTTTAGAGGAAAATGAGATTCTTCTAATGTACAATTAAAGTATTTGCATTATTGGCAATATATAGGGAGAAACTTAAGGGTAAAAACCAGCTCATTTTATTTTGTAGAAAAATCAGAAATAGGAAAAATATGCTAACATGATTATATCTAATGAGGGAGATGTTCCATGCAGGTGTCTTTTTTCTATTAATCCCTAAAATGACTGTATGCTTTTATTTATATGGGTAACATCAGATACAAACATGTTACTAGGAATATATTGCCACTTACAAAAAAGATACACAATATGAGTTTAGAATTTTAATAAATTCTCTTTTAAAGGTGATTTAAATCTTTAGATAATGTAAGATTTGAGATTTCAACAAAGATGTAATGTCTGTGTATGCTACTTCTGAGAGTTATTTAGATATTTTTCTTCTTGCTTAGCTGTGTTTACTGCAGCTTCTAACATAGGGGATTGAGAACTGGGTCCTGTATGATGGATCTTTTATGGGACACAGAGAAATATAATTTTATTTAGTTATATTTGAAGCCTCTATCTAGGCACACTGCAAGCAATATTATTCTTACTATCACATATAGATAACAAAGTCACAAGCTCAAGCTAACAAAAAGGGCATGTGAAAGGAAAAGAGACATTATTCTTGTTTTTGCTGTTGTCAGTAGGAATTTTTACATTTTCTTTGTACATGGGCACCTTTTCATGTTTATTATACTACATTGATAGCACTGTCACATTTCATTAAGTTAACTCCAACTTAGTGAAAATGAGAAAAAGAATATTTTGCTGCTACTATTATTCTAGACTTTTTTCCTATAAATACTTACCTTTTATATAAGTTATGAGTTATTTGAGAATAAGAATGCTTTAAGGACATGTATTTTGTTTTAAGCTAGATTAGGCTGCTAAATAAGCTAAATTTGGACCTCTCCCTTCATGCTTGGTAAATATGTTGTGGTATTAATACAGACAAATACAAACATTTCTTATATTCCGTACTTGTCATTTTTTTTTTTTTTTACTGAATACATGTCAGTGAAGGCACAGCTTTGGTAAGGGGTGGGGAGACACATATACACAAATGATCCACCCTCGCACTGGTATTAGCATCCTTGGTCTTGAAACTAAGGAAAGCAGATCATAAAGTCACACTGGTAGCTACACATAGTTTATACAAAGCCTCTCAGATTTGATAGTATTCTACACCTGAATGTACAATGACAGAGACAGGGAGTGTGGGTGTGGGGAATTGAAAAGAAACAGAGAAAGGTGTAGAGAATAATGTTCTTGTCTTTTGATTTTTAATTTGTAGAATTAACTTCTTTTCTCTTAAGTCTTGAACTTATGGTTGTAATTGGAGTTAATTTAAGCATAGTTACCAAAATAATGGAATAAATCGTTTCAGACTTGGTATCTTTTTGGTCGCTGAGTATATTCATTAGCTGTAAGTAGGGCATTATGTCGTTTATAAATTTTAATGCCTTGTCATTTGTAAATATATCTCATATTTATAAAAAAAGTCCATTTCTCCTTATTTGGATTTTCTTTGCTCTCTAGGATTAATGGGCAAAACATGAACTTCACTCTGAATTTCTCCTGAAATTTTAATTTAAAGTTTACTTTTTCAAGACTCATTTTGAATTACAGAGATCATCTTCTACCTGTAGCCTCTTTTGGGAGGATTTCCAAAAGAGTAAGTTGACTTTCCGGGATATGATACTTTGGGAAACATTTGGCTTAAATAATGGATGCTTTTATGTTGGCTCCTGCTAATGTGTTAGAGATTATTCTTCAAAGAGTCCAGTTGAATACCAGTGTCTTTTGGTGAGGCGTGGGAATACAGAATCATTTATAAGCCTGATGGTAATATTTGTCAGTTTTCTTTTTCTTTTTTAAACTTTAATAGGCATCAGGATCAACTTAATAAAAAAAGGTAATGTCAGGCTTAAGATTTTAGCAAATACATTTTGGTGGATATTCCATGAGTTTTTAAATGGCATGTGAGGATAAAAATCAAAGATGTTGATTGTTTTTGTATAACCTGGTGGCTATAGTTAACAATATGACATTTCTACTTTAAAATATGTTAAGAGGATAGATCTCTTGTTAAGTGATCTTAGGACATAACAACAAAAAAAAGACACAAGAGAAAACTAGGGAAGTTTTAGAGATAATAGATATGTTTATAGTATGTTGATAGTGGTGATGGTATCAGAGGTGTATGCATAAGTCCAAACTTATCACAATGTATACATTAAATATGTGCCATTTTTATATGTCACTTATAATTCAATAAAGATTAAAATGCATGTTGATTGTATTTTAAAGATATCTTCTGGAGAAGGAAGAGAAAAATACTAAACAGATGACATCATAAAGCATTCAGTTCTTGATGTAGGAGTTTGTGAAAAGGAATAGCTTCATGATTCTTTGTTTCATTCTGTTGCCTTCATGATGAGTACTTGATACTGCTAATAATGATATTGGTGTATTCCTTGGCATTTAAAGGAATATCAAATATATTCTTTACATTAGAAAGCTTTTCTTCTGCTGAGGCTACTGATTCACAGGAAAAAAAAAACCTCTTGGGTATAATCTACAAATGAAAAACAGTTGATGACAGGAAGCAAACGTGGAGGAGGTAAAGAGATGGTGAAGAGATGGCAAAAGTGTGTAGACACTGAGAGAGGAAATATTAGAGGAAGGAAGATGAGGGAGAATGGGTGGGCTTAAAACAAAAGAGAGTGATTTTTCTTTTGGCTTAGGCCTCAACCGTGTCCTGGCTTTCTTCCTCTTGCATCTACCCTGATGATCACCCTCCAGCTATTAAAATCACTCTAATTCTGGTGCTAATCCAGTTCCTCCTGACTTTTTACGTTTGCATCCACAGGTGTCCTAAGTTCACATGGCCACCATAACTATCACTGGGCTTTGTTTTCCTCATTCCATTGTCATTTATTAGGAAGCCTTCTTTCTTTCTTTCTTTTTAAATTTTTTTGTGTTAATTTATTTTTGAGGGAGAGAAAGAGTACAAGCAGAGGAGGGGCAGAGACAGAGGGAGACACAGAATCCGAAGCAGGCTCTAGGCTTTGAGTTGTCAGCACAGAGCCTGATGTGGGGCTTGAACCCATGAACTGTCAGGTCATGACCTGAGCTGAAGTTGGAGGATTAACCAATTGAGCCACTTAGGTACTGCTAGGAAGCTTTCTTGAATATTCAAGTATTTCCACTTAGTTAATGAACAGATACACTGTGAATAATAATGCAGTGTCACTTTATGTATGCCAGGTAGTGTTCTAGGCTCTGGATATAAAGAACTTAATGAGTTGAAGTCTCAATTCCCATTGACCTTATGTTACAACACATGAATAAGTATATATTTGAATTGCTTTGGGGAGAAAAAAATGCAAATTAAGGGGATAGAGAATCACAGAGTATGCTACTTTAGAAAGGGTAGTTAAGGAAGTTTTGTCTGTGGAGGTGATATTTAAGCAGAAATCTGAATGATGTGAGGGAACAAGCCATATGAGTTTCAGGGCAGTATGTGCTTGGTGAGACAAGTGCATAGGCTTATGTTTGATGTCTTCAAGGGTCAGCAAGAAGTGCAGTGGATGGATTGGGAGAATGGTAGGAAATGAGGTTAAGAGTTAGGCAGAGGCAGATCATGAAAAGCCTGATAGACCACAGTCAAGTTCTTGGATTTTATTTTAAGAGTGATGAGGTGGATTCACTTCATGCTAGGGGTATCTTCTCAGATAAGAGCAGAGCTGCAAGGTATCAGAATTCTTACGCACTTACCCAGTTGCATTTATTAATATAAATACTGTAGTAGAAATGGGAAGTGGTTGTTCAGGACAGCTTACACTGAGTCACATTACTGAAGGTCTGTTCTACCTTCAGAAGAGGACTACAGTACCGTAATGAGATAGGTGACTGTTCTCCTGGGAAAGTTTCAGTGATAAATTCTTCTAGAGGCCAGTAGAAGTGAAGTCAGTGGTAGCCAACCCAGCAAATATTTTTGCGGGCTTATTAAATATCAGACACTGTGCTGGTTGCTTTTGCACATGTTAAGCTGTGCAGCAATTTGTCCCCATTTTACGGATCAGAATACGAAAGCTCAGAGGTCCTATTGTGCCACAACTGCTGTAATTATTCGGTTAAGTATCTGAATATTCATACTAAAGTAAGGTCCTTGCCTGAATTGCTGGGATTAATTGCAACAATGTAGATCTGGGTATTATAGTTTTAATCAGACAATGTGCTGTTAAATTTCTAAGACTATATTAAAGAGGTAATTAAAAGTCTTTTACTTTAAAACACATACTTTATAATTTTCTGGAAATTAAAGGACTATGTATGTGGTCATTTTGGAAAAATTAGAAATATTTGTTTTTTACTGTGAATAATAGCAAAATTATGGAAAGAGCCCAAATGTCCATCAACCGATGAATGGATAAAGAAAATGTGTAACGGAAGATTACTCAGCAATCAAAAAGAATGAAATCTTGCCTTTTGCAACTAGAGTGTATTGTGCTAAGCAAAATAAGTCAATCAGGGAAAGACAAATATATGATTTCACTCATGTGAAATTTAAGAAAAAAATCAGATGAACATAGGGGAAGGGAAGGAAAACTAAAATAAGATAAAAACAGAGAGGCAAACTATGAGACTCTTAACTATCGACAACAAACTGAGGGTCGATGGAAGGGAGGTGGGTGGGGGATGGGCTTGTTGGGATGAGCAATGTGTGTTATATGTAAGTGATGAATCACTAACTTCTATACTTGAAACCAATACTACACTATATGGTGACTAAATTGAATCTAAAAAAAAAAAAGAAATACAATTTTTAAAATGCACATACCCATATACACATGCTGTGACCGCCTCTCTGCTTCCACCTTGTAAATACCTCAGATTAACACTTTTCCCAATGTAGAAAGTGGATTCTGGTGGTACTGTTATTGTATTTATTTAAATAGTTGCAGAATGAGTAATTTTACTCATTTTGTTTAGTGTTACCAATTGTTGGGGCTTGCCCTAAGATAGTTTATTACTTTCAAATGAGTTTGAGAAACTTAATAAATGTGTTTGATAATTCAACGTATCTAGTGAAATTGTTACAGAAGCCATCCGAAGAGCTTGGTTCTGTAGTCTCTTTAGTAGTGATTTGAAGTCTTATACTCTGGTAGCCTATCTATAGGGCATGTTACTAAATCTAATATTTATTTGGTATAATTCATGTAAAGAAAGAACATAAAATGCGTCCCCCTTCCCGTCATAACCTCCCTGCTTACAGCCGACTGTGGAAGTATATCTCAGTCTACAATGTCACATGTTCAAGGGATACACTTTTTGTTCTTTGTTTGAAACTCAGTTTCTATTTTGAGCTTCCATTTTGTCCAGGTGACCGAAGTTTTAATCTTGATGAGGAGTGTCTTTTTCCTTTTCTCTTACCTCTGCTAATTCTTGGATCGGGGTGGTGGGTCCTACTACACATCTTCATCTTTCCACAATAGTGGCATTTGTAGAAATGTTAGTCCTTCATTTTGTTTTTGAAGTTACTTGGCCATCATAGGTTGCTGCTCATTCCTCATTCGCATCCACAAGGTATTAGCTAGTAAAATAACTTCTTACAATTTCCATGCTAATGACAACACTGTAATCTTTCTGTGGTCTCCAGACTTTAATAAGATATGGAGAATTCTGTGAGACTGCTCCTCGTCTCAGCTTTGCTGGGCCTGAGTGGGGCCTGAGAAATTCTGAGGATAATATCTCATTTGCCCCTTACAATTATCCAACCAGTTCTGTGGGATCTTCCTGCCTCCCTGAGTCTGTACCTCGGAAGTGGGATGCAGATTGCCTCTGTTCTCTTGTAAGAACAATGTCTAAATCCATTATTCATTTTACTCTTTTTTTCCCCATTCAAGGATTTTCATCAAGTCTAGAGGGTGAGAAAATCTTTTGTCTTTGCTCATTTTGTTTTTAAGGTGTTCTAAATCTGTTTTCTGTCCTAGATGTTGCACATACGTGGGCTGAATTTGACCCACAGGAGTTCATTTTACTTGGGTAATATTTTAAAAATGGGGAAAAATCACATAAAAATCTGAATTTCCAGATTTTTTTTGATGGGGCAGGGTGGGGGGGGTGGAGAATGATTTGGCAACATTGGACCCACATTTCTATATGATAAAAATCGGTTGGCGGTGAATAGTGGCTCTTTACGGGGGTTTGCTCATTCCAGTCCCACTTCCTTGTTTGTTTTGTGTTAGTCACCTGCCTGACTTGGTTAGCATATGTTTTGAATCCTTCCCATTATTCTCAAGGCCCAGGATTTTGGAATTCAAATGTTTGGAAAAAGACTCCTTATTTCTGCTTTCTGTTGTCATTGCTTTTCCCTTAGGCAAGGTGAGCCTATCTACTACTTGAATGGAGGAAGAATCTAAGAATAAGGGAAAAAATTGGCTAGTATATAAAAAATGTTAAACTACTAACATAAAGGGTAAACTACTAAATGAAGGATATTATAAGAATTTTATTTTACTTATTTAAAAAAAATATTTATTTTGAGAGAGAGAGAGGGCACGCACATGTGAGCAGGGGAGGGATAGAGAGAGGGAGAGAGAAAACCCCAAGTACACTCCACACTGTCAGCGTAGACAATGCCAGGCTCGAACTCACGAGCCATGAGAT